GAGGTGGAGGCGGAGGGGGATGGGGAGGAGATGTAGGAAGAGGAGGCGGATGAGCAACAGGTAGAGGCGGAGGAGGCGGATGAGGCGGAGGAGGTGGAGGAGGAGGAGGAGAAAGAGGCGGAAGGGGAGGGGGAGGAGGAGGAGGAGGAGGAGGAGGAAGGTCAGTGTAAACCCAAGAGTCACCAGCGATGTTGGAATAAACCCGTTCCCCCCAAGCTCCGTCTTCATGGGCCCTTACAGCGGTTCATTTCCACTGAGGGATCTGCCTCGTTGGAAAGCAACCGTTTGAAGACCCTGAAGCATGCCAGAACAGTGTTCTCGGAATTTCAACGCCACGGATCAATCTGACTGCTGCGTCTTGACGGCCCTGAATCGTGCCAGAACGCCATTTCTGTGATTTCGGCACCGCGCGCGAATATAATTGTTGCACAATAGTGCAATGTTTACGATCGAATGTGCGCAGCGCTGACGCGAGAGAGCCACAGTTTGAAAAGGAATCGCCCTCAATCCGTGAAGCTCTTGCAAAGTTGTAAAATCAATGTGCGCGGCGCTAAGGCGAGAACCACAGTTTGAAAATGACCCGCCCTCAATCCGTGAAGCTCGTTGTAATTTTTAAAACGAATGTGCACGGCGCTAATGCGAGAGTCACTTGTTGGAATCGTCTCGCCCTCAATCCGTGAAGCTCGTTGTACGTTTGTAAAACAATTGTGCGCGGCGCTAAGGCGAGAGCCACATTTTGAAAACCACCTGCCTTCCATCTGTGAAGCTCTTGCACATGTTGAAGACGAATGTGCGCGGCGTCAAGGCGATAACCACATTTTGAAAACGAGCCGCCTTCAATCCGTGAAACTCCTGCAATCGTTTAGAACTAATGTGCGTGGCGCTAAGGCGAGAGCCACAATTTGAAAATCACCCGCCCTCCATCTATGAAGCTGTCGTCATTGTTTACGCTTCAGAGTCATTAGTGGTCAGGACGTCTTAGGCGAAACGCCCGGCCCGTCCTAAAACTGGCCTCGGGGTGCGACATGGAGGAATTATTCAGAAGGGAAAGGAAAGCAGGAGGAGGAAGAGGTGGAGGAAGAGGAGGACGAGGTGGAGGAAGAGGAGGAGGAAGAGGAGGAGGAGGACGAGGACGAGGAGGAGGACGAGGACGGAGGAGAGGGAGGACGAGGAGGAGGTGGACGAGGAGGAGGCGAAGGCACACGTACCACCCGAGCCTCATCCTGACGCGAAGTCGGGCCGATCTGCTCGAGAGAGCAGGCTCCTGGCCCCGCCCCCCCCCCCCGACGCCGCGAGGCCTGCAGCGGGGGGCAGACGCGCTGGCGGCGGCCGCCGCCGAGTTCTGCGGCACCCGCGTCGCCAAGGCCCGGGCGCGCCGACGGCGCCAGGGTCTTCGCATCGCTCGGACGTGTGCATCTTTCCTCGGCGAGGACCATCGAGGAGCATCCTGGATTACCGAGCTCAAGCAACACGCACGAAACCGACACATGCACGGGGAATGGACGTCCGAGCGATGGCGAGGGGCCGGGAGCCTTGAGACGATGATCGATGCAAACGGGGGTCAGCCAGATCGCCAAATCTTTCAGGACGTTGCAGAGCCAGGGCTGCACTGTCCCAGGCTGGCTTGAAGTCGGGCGTGTCCCTCTACAGGTGGAATGTTTCCAAATAGTGAAAAAATAGTCTGGGGACGATTGTTCTATCGTTTATTTGCCTACTTTGGAGTTTTTTCGCTTTCGTCCCACATCCCCTTGTAGGAGGACATGCCTGATCTAAGGCTAGCTCGCATGATGCTGCAGGATGTCGCAGGCATCCCGCACAGCCCGACTGGCCCCGTTGGCACAACTGACCCGGGCCAGGGCGTCCCCGAAGGGGCGAGGCCTCGGGCCAGGGCGTCGCGAAGGCCCTGGGCGGCCCCGTGGCGCCTCTTGGGGCCCTCTTGGGGCTCTCGCGGGGTCCTCTTGGGCCGCCTGTCTTCTCCCCGCTGGGGCTCCCTGTTTCCTGCCTCCTCCTCTTCGCTGGGGGGGGGGGGGCGGTTCATTGCCTTCCTTGGGTTTGGGTTGCGCCCCCATGCTGGGGAGGGGCACACGTGAGGAGGTCTGCCACTCTCTTCGGACGCCTCCCCCGGAGGGCGAGTCTTTGGAGTCTTTGAATCTGCTTCTCGAGTGTTCGATCGCATCGGCTCTTGGAGTCTACGGGCAGGCTGGAAACACTTATGCGGCCCTGTTTCATGCCTCGGGTTTCCGCCAGTATCTCTTACGTCTGGCCGCGCCAAACTTTCATGAGGGTGGTGCAAACCCTCTGAGAAACCATCCGCTTGTGTTTTCTCCCCAGGGTCGCGCGCTTGGCGGTTGTCGTTGCGGCTTTCTTTTTCCGTAGCAAGCGTCGCTGTATCGATTTGTGGCGTTCCGGGGCCAGCGTAAGGTCGTTTTTCTGTAGGTCCACGTGAGCGCAGTTTTCCGTACTCTAGAATTGAGGCAGCAGTGATATCTTCGTTTTCTTGTTCCCAGCCTTCCAGATGTGGTTACAGGGTTACAGTAAATCGGGTTTGAGGATCACGCCGCATCGCGGATGCATCGGCGATGCAGTTCTATGTGGAGCCCGGTTTTCTCGGCGCCGGCGTCGGCGATGCAGCGCCGACGTCGCCGAAGCATCGCCGATGTATCGGGGATGAGCATCGCCGATGCATCGCGATCCTCCCCCCCATATATTCAGACCCCATTTGGCAGGCCTCTGTTGTGAATTCTGCTTCTCGAGTGTTCGATCGCATCACTGTTTCCCGGATCAGCTCTTCGTGGTGCCAGACTCTCCGACGACGGCCGCCGACTGCCCCTGGCCCCGCTCGGGCATTTCGGCTCCAAGAGGTGGATGACGGCATGCCCCTCCTCAAGTGTCACAGTGCCCTCGCCTTCGGCAGCCGGGCCCGACCGCGCAAGTTTCAGTACACCAAGTTCCCGTGCCCGAGGCTGCCACGGGCCATTCTCGTGGTGTGTGGACTCTGTTCGCCTTCGGCCTCTTTCTTCGTTTTCCCCCTCCTCGGCCTGCCCCCCTCTTGCCCCTTGTCGTGGTCGTGTGTGCCCCCAGTTCCGGCGCGGCCCGCTGGCTGTCCAGCGCGTTGGCGTTTGCCCCCGCTGCTGACCAGTGAGTTCGGTCGCATCCACGGATCGTGCTGCGTCGCGTCGATACCAACGGTTTTGCTAAGCCGCATCGAAGGATCGCTCTGTTAGGCGTGGATGCCAGCACTCAGTGGTTGGGTATGTTCGTGTCCTTTGCATTTCGGAGGAGGATCAGCGTTCACATCGTGGACCTGGCTTTCGGTTCTAGGACACCTCGGTCGCCTCAACGGATCATGCTATGATGCGCTGGTGTCAACACCTCCTCGCTGGATAAGATAAGTTGGCGTGCGCTTTTGTGTAAGAGCAAGATGGGATTTGAGTCATAAGCGGCAGAGAGAGATAGAGAGACAGGCAGACAGACCGACAGATCTGTTCGAGGGTCGCGGCGTTCTGGACCTCTGGGGGCTCCTCGGCGCCACGGCCAGATTCACCTCGAGTTTCTGGTCATCGCGCACCCCAGCCCTGCTTCCTAGCTTTGTGGAGGACGATCAATAGAGAGGAAGCACGTTGCCTAACAATTTCCAGATGTCCATAACATGTGTTACCATGTTTTAAACCTGTAAGCAACATGTTTGGAACATGCGTAGAACATGTTTCCGACATTTCAAACACATTTTACATTCAATGATCGGCCTGTTAGGGTGTCCATTGTCGTGGCATCCACTATCCTAGCTGTCACGGGTTTCCTGTGGCTTTCGTCAGCCCTTCGAGGCCTCCCCCGCCTCGGAAGGCCTGCCAGCAGCTGCCCCTCGCCAGGAGCGCGGGTGCCCGGATCGTCCCGAACGCCCGCCGGAGGTCCGAGCCATGGCCCTCGGGCGGGTGGTAACGGGCTTGGTATCGCTCGAACGGGAGCGCTTTTCCTCGGCGGGGATTATGGAGGAGCATCCTGGATCATCCTGCCAAAGCACGCACGAAACCGAAAACAACCCAGGGAAAGGACGTCTGAGCGATGGCCATGAGGGGGCCCTGCAGGGGCCCCTTTTGGAGCCAGCTGGTGTCCAAAAGATGCCCCAAACGGCTCCTTCTGGGCCCCTCCCAGATCCAGACGTCATGATTCCTGCAGCGCGCGACCCCCCGAGGTGTGGACCCATTCCCTGGGTCCGGTTTTTCAGCCTGAATCGTTTCTTGACGGTCCCGAGGCCCGGTCAGGGCCCCTAGAGGCCGACCATAGGGAAGATTTTCCCGTCGTGATTGTTTCGAAGGGGGCTGGGTTTTCTTCGCCCCCCATCTGGGCTTCCCCCCCCCCCGTGAGCACCCCCTCCGAGGCCCGAAAGCCAGGCCTCCAGCGTTATTGAGCAAGTCCACGTGGGCGTGCGCTGCGCAGATCTCGGCGTGTGGGGGGGGTCTTTGGTGGGAATCCCTTTCTAGTCAGGGGTCCTTAGTCAGGTTGCCCTTGGTAAGGACTTCGTGGTGGGGTTGCCGTTGTTGCGGTGTTGTGAGGGATTCCTTTGTGGGGGTGCCTTTGGTGGGGGGCGCGGATGTTTTTCGTTCGCGTTCTCCTGCAAAGATTTGTTCGGTGGGGGCTCTCTCAGTAAGGGCTCGCGTTTGGGGGGGTACTTCGGTGTTTCTCGTTCGTCAACATTTCTTCCGCGAGCAGGAATGCGTTATGTAAGATATCGTGAAGCAACCCGAGTAAGGGTGCTTTTGAGACGGATCCCCCAGCAAGGTTGCGTTACTGAGGACCCCTGCGTTAAGCGATCCTGCATGATAGCCCTTTTTCGCGAGCGTTCATCAATAAAGACAACTTTATTGAGGAATCGGTAATGAGAATTCCTTTCGTTTTGCGTCCGTACTGAAGGGATTGTACATCATCTTGAGTTCGACCCCCTCATTCACAATCATTATCATAAATACGTAATGCTTGTAAAAACGCTTCCGTACTACGGATGGCTCAAGCTCACCGGAGCAAGGTATTTTTGTTTCAAGCGCACGTAGCTCAGATCTCATCGGTCACGCTCCGAATTGTTGATTTCGCAGAATGATGAAAGTGGTCACCTTCGCGTTATTGCCTGGCATTGATGCTCTCAGCGGATCGCTGAGAGGTCATGTTTCGCTTATCAGTGCCTCTGGCTGTAATTCGTGTGGGTCTTGCTTGTGGTCAACGGGCACCTGCCATGAAACAACGGAGTCTTATTGCAATGCATGGACAACGAACACCTGGTGTGGCGGCGGTTCGGTCACGGAGCCAGTGCTAACGTCTACGCAAATACCAACGCTGGCGCCCACGTCGACGTCGACGACCTCGCTTGCGCCCACTTCGGCACCGACGATGTCCACTACGGCACCAACGCCAGCACCGACGTCGACGTCCAGTTGCAGCGGGGAGCCCTGCGTCGATGCTTCTCAGTGCCGATCGAAGTGGGGCTCTTGCGGCGCTTCCGCCGCTTACTGCAACGAGGAGTCGACCTGGAAGGCAGCTGGCTGCTCTGGAGGGTCCACGCCCACGTCTTCCTCCAGTGCGTCGACGTCCGCGCAGAGCAGCACTACAGTGGCACCAACCACGACCACTGCAGCCCCGACGCCGGCACCCACGTCGACTACCTCACCTGCGCCCACACCGTCGCCAACCACGGCCACTGCGTTCTCGACGCCAGCACCCACCTCGACGTCCAGTTGCAGCGGGGAGCCCTGCGACGACGCCTCGCACTGCCGATCGGAGTTCGGTTGGTGCGGCCTCTCTGCCTCTCACTGCAACGCGCAGTCGACCTGGAGCGCAGCGGGCTGCTCTGGAGAAGGGTCCACCACCGCGCCGCCCGCGTCCACGTCCTTCTCCAGTGTGTCGACGTCCGCGCAGAGCAGCCCGACGCCGGCACCATCTCCGGGTGCTGGTGGCAATGGGATCGGGGCGTGGTTCACGCAGGCCGATTTCGACGCCTTCTTTCCGAACATCAACAATGCCGCTTGCACGGGAGCGAACTTCTTCACGTACGCCGCGCTGGTGCAGGCGGCTTCGGCGTTCCCCAGTTTTGCCAATTCGGGCGACGTCGCGGAGGATAAGCTGGAGCTTGCCGCATTCTTGGGACAGACGAGCCACGAAACGACAGGGGGATGGGCAACGGCCCCAGGCGGGCCCCAGGCGTGGGGCTACTGCTTCAAGGAGGAGCGAGGATGCGAGACCGGCTCTTGCACGGGCTACTGTGCCGCCGGCAATCCGTGCCAAGGCCAAGGATTCGACTGCATCTGTGCGGCTGGGCAGACGTATCAGGGCCGCGGGCCCGTACAGCTCAGCTGGAATTACAACTACGGTGCGTTCAGCGAGTACATGTTCGGCGACGCCTCCGTGCTCATCAACGACCCATCCCAGGTGGCCACAAACGCCACGCTCGCATACCAGGCTGGGCTCTGGTTCTGGATGACCCCGCAGTCGCCCAAGCCGTCGTGTCACGACGCCATGACCGGCCTGTGGCAGCCTACCGCGGCAGACAGATCAGTTGGGCGCGTTCCAGGCTACGGTATGACGACCAATATCATCAATGGCGGCCTCGAGTGCAACATGGCCACCAACTCGAAGGTCATCGACAGAGTGGAGTATTTCAGGCGCTACGCCAGCCTCTTGCACGTTGCCGTGGACCAGGCCACCCTCTATTGCGACCAGATGCAGAGCTACCGGTGAGGTGCGCCTCCGCAAAGTCAGGCTACAGTACCTTACAGAACGCCTGCCGCAGCGGATCCCTCAGTGGCTCCTGCTGTCCCCCGCCCGTGCGGAGCGGAAGACTCTGCAAGTGCCGCCGCGTTCTTTCACGAATGCCGCGCAGTGCGGCGCCCGACGCACCTGGGGCATTTCCTCTTGCCATCCGAGCTGAGATTCGAACGCCCCAGTGATGCCAGCGCGCCGGCCAGGAAAAAAAACGAAGTCGCCTGAGAGGGATCTTTAGTGCAGGTCCTTCAGAGCGGAATCGTGAGCAAGCGCACAAGTTGTGAAGAACAGTTTTAGCACGGATCCGCTTTTGCACAGGATCCTGATGAAAGCGTGCTCCTCCCCAGTAAGGATCTCGTAACACAATTCCCGAAGCATTCCTTACTAGGCATGCCAGAGATTAGGATCGCTAGGTAGGAACGCCTTCATGACTTGCTCCTTCAGCAAGGTCTCCTCTAGAAAGGATACCTGGTCCATGTTGGTATAGTGCATGTTCCTTAGTGAGGGCGCTTGTTGCAAACGATCCTTAACACGGCTTCCTTGTAACGTTTTTTTTGTGTTTTTGTCTCCCCGTACGGTTTGTTGTCAGCAAACGTTCGCTAGGAAGGGTTATTTTAGGACGCGTTCTTGCAACATGCTTGACCAGGATACCGTTCGTGACGTCGTTGTCGTTCGTGGTCGCTCGTGGTCACGCGATCGTGAATTTTGTGCACCGCATGAATTTCAGCAGGGGGCCCCGGAAAAGGCCAGCGCCCACATATTTAGCGAATGGAAAGCCTTCGGCTCATCCCGCCCCCGTGTTTGGCTTGTGGGCCAGAGTCCTAAAGGATGCTTCTCCTCGGGGCGCTATCGGTTGCTTGTTTGGGGCATCTTTGGCCCCTCGTTGGGGGCCTCTTGGGGGCCTCTTAGGAGCCTCTTGGGGGCCTCTTTGGGTTTCCTGGGGGCCTTCTCGCGACCTGTTGGGGCCTCTTGGGGGCCCCATGGGGCCCTTTGGCCGAGGGTCCCTTGTCTGAGCCACCTTTTGGAGCCGTATTGTGGGCCGCTTGGACCGTCTTAGAGGCCTCTATGGTAGTCTTGGTGCCCTCTTGGGCCGCTTTGTGGCCCTACTGGGGGCACCTGGGCGATCTTGGGCGCCTCCAGGGCCGTCTTGGAGCGTCGGGAAGCCAAACAGGGGAGAACGCTGAGATAATCAAACCACATACGGAAAATCAGTGAGGTGTGCCTTTGGGGGGCCTCTTGGAGGCCTCCTGGGGCGTCGTAGGAGCTGCTTAGATCGTCTGGAGGCCATCTTGGGCGTGTTGGACCGATCGTTCTGCGACTCGGGACCCTTTCGGTCCCGGGCAAATTATTCGTCGAGCCGCTCCAGACAGCGGGATATTTGAGTGTTTCGGGCCCAAACCTTCCTACAAATCCTTTATTCAGAGGGCTGCGGACCACAACGAGGGTCCTGAGGACACGCCCAATCCGTGCCCGAAGGCGCAGTGTCCCCGAAATGGCCAGCGCCCACATATTTGTATGTACATAATTAGATGTACACACACAGGTACATGTACATAGTATGCATGCATCGGCATGTGTGTATACATTAGACGTGTTTTTATTCCCTACCTAGGCTCTGCCTAGAAGGGTTCTTACTCTCTAGCTTAAAGGGGCCGGGCAATGGAAACCGCCCAGGGCGGTTCCCCCAGTCCCCGCCCCGCGGTTCCCCCAGTCGCGCCCCCTCGGTTCACCCAGCTTAGCTTAGCTTCAGCTTAGCTTCAGCTTAGCTTTAGCTTAGCTTGAGCTTAGCTTTAGCTTAGCTTTAGCTTAGCTTTAGCTTAGCTTTAGCTTAGCTTCAGCTTAACTTCAGCTTAGCTTTAACTTAGCTTTAGCTTTAGCGTTAGCTTAACTTCAGCTTAGTTATAGCTTAGTTATAGCTTAGCTTTAGCTTAGCTTTAGCTTAGCTTTAGCTTAGCTTTAGCTTAGCTTTAGCTTAGCTTCAGCTTAGTTTCAGCTTAGCTTTAGCTTAGCTCTAGCTTAGCGTCAGCTTAGCTTCAGCTTAACTCTAGCTTAGCTCTAGCTTAGCTTCAGCTTTGCTTTAGCTTGGTTTCAGCTTAGCTTCAGCATAGCTCTAGCTTAGCTTTACTTAGCTCTAGCTTAGCTGCAGCTTAGCTTCAGCTTAGCTCTAGCTTAGCTTTAGCTTAGCTCTAGCTTAGCTTCAGCTTAGCTTTAGCTTAGCTTTAGCTTAGCTTTAGCTTAGCTCTAGCTTAGCGTTAGCTTAGCTTCAGCTTAGCTCTAGCTTAGCTTTAGCTTAGCTTTAGCTTAGCTTTAGCTTAGCTTTAGCTTAGCTTCAGCTTAGCGTTAGCTTAGCTTCAGCTTAGCTCTAGCTTAGCGTCAGCTTAGCTTCAGCTTAGCTCTAGCTTAGCTCTAGCTTAGCTTCAGCTTTGCTTTAGCTTGGTTTCAGCTTAGCTTCAGCTTAGCTTCAGCTTAGCTTCAGCTTAGCTCTAGCTTAGCTTTAGCTTAGCTCTAGCTTAGCGTTAGCTTCGTGTTAGCTTAGCTTTAGCTTAACTTTAGCTTAGCTTTGGCTTAGCGTTAGCTTAGCCTTATCTTAGCTTTAGCTTAGATTTAGCTAAGCTTTAGCTTATCTTCAGCTTAGCTTTAGCTTAGCTCTAAGCTTTAGCTTAGCTTTACTGTTACTACGAATGCTGCTTTCCTAGGGGCTCCAACTCCTAGGTAGGGTTGCACTGGGATAATATATATATATATATATACATGTATATCGATAGAACTGTGTGGGGGGAGGCCTAGGAGGGAGTGAAATAGCAGCGCCCCTCACAGACAAAACACGCCCCGGGTATTAAGAGAGGAGGGGCTGCGCGCGCGGCGCCCAGCGGCGATTCGGCCGCAAGCTCTTCGAGGACACCAAGGATGCCATCCAGGACGCGGGCCGACGCCTCACTTTCGATGTGGGAGGACCCTGACTCCCGACGTCATGATTTTGTCACAGCGTGGGCCTCGGGAGGTTTCGACCCACTCCCAGGGATGGGCTTTCATCCTGCGCTTTTTTTTCGGTCGCGCAGGGCTCTGCGAGGCCCCCCCTCTGCTTTTTCGAACGGCCCCGGGGGGGAGGGGGGGCGCGGGAAGGGGAACGCGGGCCAGAGGACGTGTCTCGAAGAAGAGAAGATTACATAAACATACAATTTGTGCGCTTTGCGTGGGTTTCTTGGATCCGCGCTGGGGGCCCCTGGCGGGGCCTCCGGCGCCGCCCCTGGCGTGCTTCGCCCGCCAGGGAGGGAGGTGATTCCAGCGCAGGTCCAAGAAGTCCGCGCGGAGCGCCAAAAGTTTATGTTGTGCAGTATGTTCGTCTTCTACGTGTGCGTCGCCTCCAGGCGCGACGCGCGCACCGAGAACTCTTACAGTGTATGCGTCGTAGCGAGCGCTTTCTGGCCACACCGCTCGGGAAACGATGTACTACAGGATGGGTGCACTACATGTTCGGGTCGGATGCGCGCCTTCAAGCAGATCATACGGGCATACGGGGCGTTCCAAAAATGGCCTTGCCTTCGAGGATCGAAGGGGTTGCCATCTCTTTCGCCGCGGAAGGCGGCGGAAGGGCGGCGGAAGGTCGGCGGAAGTAAAACGAGGCCGCCTCCGCCGGCGGTAGCCAGCCTGGCGAAAGCTCGGCGGAAGGCGGCGGAAAAAATCAGGTGTCCCCTAAGAGATGAAAACGTTTCCGGGTTCAGGGTTTCCCAGACCGCCAAAGTAGCACTAGCATGTCTCTATGCGTCCCATGTGGGGCCGTGGCCCGCTACAGCTCGAGGCTCTGTCAGGGAGGGGGGGCTCCGCGCGGGGGCTCGCAGGGCTCGGCGAGGCCCCCCCCCCTCTGATTTTTCCGAACCATCCTGCGGTGTTGGGTCCTCGTTTTGAAGATACGGTCCCCGCATTCCCTCCTTCCTTCCTTTCCTCCCCCTCCTCCTCCTGCACCCTACTCCATCGTCATCGTCATCACCCGTTTCAGCACACCCCTCACACGTTTCGCGGCCCCATAGGGAGCTCCACCGAAGCCCCCAATGGCACCGCCCGCAAGCGTCAGCCACCACCCACTACAGCGCTTCGTGGCCCCATAGGGAGCTCCACAGAAGGCCCCAGTGGCACCGCCCGCATGCGTCAACCACCACCCAGTACAGCGTTTCGTGGGCTCATAGGAAGCCCGAGTGGCACCGCCCGCATGCGTCAGCCACCACCCATCACAGCGTTTTGTCGCCCCATAGTGAGCTCCACCGAAGCCCCCAGTGGGACCGTTCGCATGCGTCCTGGAAACCTCACTTGACACGCCACTCACCCAGAACAGCGTTCCCCCCCACAAGTGCAGCGCTTCGTGGCCCCATAGGGAGCTCTACCGACGGCCCCAGTGGCGCCGCCCGCATGCGTCAACAACCACCCAGTACAGCGTTTCGTGGGCTCATAGGAAGCCCCAGTGGCACCGCCCGCATGCGTCAGCCACCACCCAGAGCAGCGTTTTGTCTTCCCATAGTGAGCTCCACCGATGGTCCCAGTGGGACCGCCCGCATGCGTCGTCCACCACCCAGAACAGCGTTTCGTGGCCCCGATGGGAGCTCCACCGAAAGGCCCCAGTGGCACCGCCCGCATGCGTCGTCCACCACCCAGTGCAGCGTTCCGTGGCCCGATAGGGCAATAGGGAGCTCCACCGAAGGCCCCAGTGGCACCGCCCGCATGCGTCTCACCCACTCGGTACAATGTTTCCTGGCCCCGTAGAGAGCTCCATTGGCACCGCCCGCATGCGATTCCCCACCCAGTACAGCGTTTGGTGGGCTCATAAGAAGCTTCACCGACGGCCCCAGTGGCACCGCCCGCATGCGCCCCCCCCCTCCCAGTACAGCGTTTCGTGGCTCCACAGATCTCAACCGAAGGCCCCACTGGCACCGCCCGCATGCGTCAGCCACCACCCATCACAGCGTTTCGTGGCCCCATAGGGAGTTCTACCGACGGCCCCAGTGGCATCGCCCGCATGCGTTTCCCCCAACCAGTACAGCGTTTCGTTGCCTCATTGGGAGCTCCAGCGAGGGGCGCTGCCCGCATGCGTCAGCCACTACCCAGTACAGCGTTTTGTGGCCCCATAGGGAGCTCCATCGAAGGCCCCAGTGGCACCGGCCGCATGCGTCTTATCCACCACGGCACGTTCCTCACGCGTTTCGTGGCCCATAGGGAGCTCCACCGAAAGCGGCATCACAACGCGTTCCTCACAATTGCACATGGTTGGGTCCTTCGCCAGGATAATTTTTGCACGGCGGGGGGGGGGACCTGGGCCAGAGATAGAGAGAAAGAGAGAGAGAGAGAGAAGAAGGCAGAGACGGAGATTGAGATGCAGACGAAGACCGAGGGAGAGCGACGCAGAGACGAAGAGTGACGGAGACGAAACAGTTCAGAGGGAGGGGGAGAGGCAGAGCGA